GGTTGAAATCAGTTAGTTCATGCTAGTTCATTCAAAATCACATTTAGGAAGACAATGATTGGATTTTAATATAAAAATACAAAGAAATTAATTTACTTTGGCATAAATTATTAAATAGGGGAACAATTTTAACAAGTTCTATCCTGTAAGCATCTACAAATTGTGTTTGTCTTTTCAACATAGATTAGCTTAGCACGTAACATTTCTAGTTAGAGGAAAGGAGGAAGTTGACTGAGGATTGCTCCACTGTGATTGGAGCACAGAGCAAATAATGGTTATTGAGATTAAGCATTTACATTTTTGAGCACATTCTGTCTCATAAAAACATTTTATTCTGAGTTTAGAGAGTGTACAGTTGGATTTTACAGCTTTTACTCTGAAAAACAACAAAACAGTAAAGCTTCCCATCACATTTATCATTGGATCCATTAAAATATTGATTATAGCTACTTTCAACTTAGAGTTTAACATCTAAAAGGCACATTTATTGTATGATTTCCTGTACCGATCAGTTAAGTTGCTTTCTGACAAGAGAGGGTAGATGGTATGGTAGGGCATTATGGGAAATGTAGGATCTAATGTTTTTGGAGATTAACCCATATCAAAGTGTCTGAAACTCTTGTCATTGAATCTGTCCTCAAACTATGTCCAATAATACTTAAACTCACATTTTAAAACCATTAAAATAAAGTAAGGAGTTAGTTCTACTCACTGACAGCACAATGTCTCCTTCCAGCAATGCGTAGTTATCGGTCATCAGCTCTGTGACAGAGACAAAAACAATATTAATTTACAGTTTTCTTTCCTTTAACAAGTTTACAGGTTTTTACAAATTTTTTCAGTATTTTTTTAAATAAATTTTAAAATAATAGTATTAATAATCAACTTTTTTCACATGACGTTATAGTTAAAATACATTTGCATTTCCGTAATCTATATTAACTGTTTAACCAAAAAAAAAAACTTAATACATTTCTAAAATTACATAAAATTAGTGACAAATAACAGTAAAAAATGTGTTATTTTACATGGATTTGTTTGTGAATTGACATCTTATATAATTATGGCAGTTTTACCAGTCTATAAGCATTGGTAAAATACAGTTTTAAATCAGTGAAAACACCAATAATTACTTTTATTACAGTTCTACAACTTTTAAAATAGGTTAATGAAATGATATGATATGATAATAGCACTCTGCTGTAAATTTAAGTCTGATTATTTGTATTATAGCATTGTTCACCTATATTTAATTGGTTTTACAGTGTAAATATCTTTAATTAAACATTAAAAAGACAAATTACACAAAATTCTATGTTAAATTAAAGGTAAAAACTGTATTTTAATTATAGACTCAGTTATTTTACAGTATTAACTTGACAAATATTAAATATTGGATTAAACAGTGAGTGTTCACCTTCTAAAGTCTCTGGGTTTGAGTTCATATACTGCACCACCCTGCTAAACTGGTTCTCCAGAGGCGCTGTAAAAACATTTTTAAAAAAAACCACACAGACA